TGTCACCAAATCACCTGCACCTGTGTCCCCTGATGTGACTTCAACTCCTGCAAAATCAGATGTCAAAGTGTCTCCTGTCCTGACCTCAACTGTCACCAAGTCACCTGTCCCAGTGCCTGCTGTAACAGAATCTGGACTGAACACAAAACCTGAACCCAAAATGGAACCAGAGCCACAGACTAAATTGCCTCCAAAACCAAGGTCAGATTTCCATTCATTCCTGGCACATTTTGTAGCATCAACAGGTGGAATGGAATAAACTCAGGTGTTATGTTACTAGTTCTTGCATGAATTTGCGCTATTATGTAACTGTGTTGATCTATAATTGCGCATTACAATTTATATAAGTTTATATAACCTATTAAGTTACTATTTGCTTTATATGGCATTTGGTTTGGTATTTTACAGACAAAGATCAACATAGTATAATTTTACTCAGTGGATTGTTAAAGATCACACTAAGAAACATTAGAAACGGAAGCTAAATTACTTCCACTTAGACCAGCTCCAAGAGTAAAATTCTCCTTGCACATTAATGTGTCCTTTCTAGTGCTCCAGTAATGTAGAGTACAGCAATAAAAACCTCACAGGGACCATTCATCTGCCTGGAGTAGTTTTACTTTGGGGTATTTAAAGCTGTTTTAGCTGGAAATATTTCTCCGGATGTAATTTTACTTTTATTTTCTTAAGTAAAAGCTCTTAATACTGCTTCAACCACTCCAGCAATATAACATAAAACTACCTACGTATATAATGAGCCTCGAGCATGATTTGTAAGCAAAGCTATGTTTGTTATGAAAATATGCTTTCAGTGGTTTAAGTGGTTTTCTTTGTTTAGGTGTGTTTGCTCTCATTCTTTCACATGTGTAATTCAAAGCTGCTCTGGAATGTGATGTGTTTGTTGTCCATCTTGTTTCACAGCTCCACTGCTGACAGGCTCACTGCTCTGTCCGACACTCTGATTTCTTTCAACACCAGTTCATCCAGGTACTTCCTGGAGAGAAAGATGAAAGCCGGAGAAACCAGAAATGCAGTGACACATTAGTTCCCACAGCCTCAACAATATGCCATCTGATAATAAGAGCTTTTGTTTTGTTTTTTTTTCCTCAGTAGCTTTAAGAATGATGAGGAAGCCCTGGCAAACGAAAAAGGAGACTCAGTGGACGATCACCCCACAGAGAACAGGTATAAAACCAACAACTTCCTCATTATTGTCATAGCAGTGTTGGCAAGAAAACTGATGAGGGCTAACTGCCACTGAGCTCACTTCAAAGTAATTACAAAATAATGCACATCTCATTTTCAGGCGCTCAAAAAGCCTGATACCAAGGGGTGTCTCTAATTATGCCTGATGAAGTGTGGCACATAAACATTTGATATAGAGATATGTGCTTTCTTGCCAAAGCAGGTGCACTAATATATCTTTTCCTCTCCTGTACTGCAGTGCTGAACAGAAGCCAGCTTCAGAGCTCAACAACTGTGAACCAATAACAGACGATCTCCTGGGTTTCAGTGATGGGTTTGTTAAAAATACATTGTTAAGATTGTGCATTTAAAAAGTTGTCACGGTGGCAAATATTTGAATAGCTCTCACAAGGTGGCACTGTTGGGCTTCTTATAATCTGCCCGTCCTTTACCTCAACTGGCCTGTTCTAGCTCTGAATCGTAAATCCCCCTTTGTTCATCAACTTCTCTGCTTCCTCTTCCTCTCCTCTTTCTACATCTGCAGTCCAGAGGAGCCAGCAGAGCCTGTTCCCCCCAGCCCAGGACGCTGGAGTCAGGATCTGCTTAGTGGAATGGACAGGTAGAGGAAGAATTCTTTCTCCTAAGAAAAAAAAAAAGAGTAAAAATTACTTCCTTGTCAGTAGCAAACCAAAATACCACCTCAGCTTACCTTTCCAGAGTTGGATGTAGAGTTTCAAGAGAACTTTCCTCCATATTTGAATTTTCTGTTTGATGTCTTTAGTAAGCCAAACCCATTGAAGACCAGCGGCACTCTGGATCTTCTGGCAAATGATGTCATTGTAAGAGGCACAGAGGCACACAGGTGAGAAAGAGACAGACCGGCTTCTCCTCCCATCTCACCCTCCTTGCTTATGCATCCTTATTATTAATAAGATCCCGGCTTGCTGAGTTGAAAGACTTTGATAAACCCTCATCCTCCTTCAGTTTGATCCACAAATCAGGGCTCCGCTCCCGTTTGGCATTTTCTATTTTAACCTCCTGCTCCACGTTAAATAGAACCAAAGTCTCAAATTCCTGAAACGACTGACTTTGAAAGGGAAAGCCAGGTTTCATCTGCAGCACGACTGGAAATAGAAGGGAATGTTCTGTACTGATTAGTATTGCTGCTTTGTTTTGTCTCCACCAGCCTCAGCATGCAGCGAGAGGAGGAGAAGCAGACAGACAAGACAGCCAAAGAAACACAAAGGTAGCGGGAGATGACAGGCTGCTCTTAAACAATTATCTATCTATGCAGAACTGTTCCTTCCAAGAAATGCTTTCCATACACACGCCTTGTAATGATTTATAACAAGTCTGCCTGCAGCTATGCTGCCAGCGAACCCCACAGAGACACAGAGTCACTATAATGACCAAACTGTGATCATTACCTAAAAAAGCATGACAGCATACAAAGCTAAAGTCTGTGCTTTATTCAGATGGTTTTTGTGATTGCTAAATAGTTCAGTGCATCTTGAGCTTTACTAAAGGACAGACATGTTAAATAGTGTATGAGAACAACCACACTAACCTTTACTTGGCCTCTCTTCTCTTCCCATCATGCCATTCATCCGTACCGCCCTCCTTACTTCTATCTCACCGCTGTGCAGTGAAGAGGACAATGCGGATCCCTGGAGCTCGCGTGTGACAACAGTGACAACCGTAGTCACTAAATCAAGGTAGTTTATTTACTGTCACATGTCACATGCAAACCAGTGTGCTTAAAAATAGTAAATAATAACACACGGTTTCACTCCAGCTTGATAATATAAATGACCGGGTTGGTGTAATTGTTCAAGGGTTAATCTTAGGTGAAGAAATCCTGAAGTCTGCAGATTTTGCTGTTCAGCAGTGGAATAGTGTTTCCATTTGTCAGCAACATCCTGATTCTGATTTTTATTGAGTTTTGCCCCACGTCCCTCCGTGTTTCTGTTTACCATTCAAACTGCATTAAATCTTTCCATTATGAGTCAATGTGATCAGAATTCCTTCAACACAAGATGGGCAACGCTGACAATTGAGAGTGAAATCAGTGTGAAATTGTTTTTCAGCTCGGCTGATCCATTTGATCCATATCCGATAGGGACCACATCCCCTAACAGGTAATCATATTGGTTTGGAGCTATGACTGTTTTCCTGCAAGACAGATAGCATCTCAGCATGCATAATTCAGCAGTTTCTGATTATGAGACACTTTTCTCTATTCCAGCTCCTCTGACCTGCGCCAGCCCCTCTCTGATAGTTCCATCAACAGGTACGGGAATGATAATGCAAATTCCCTTTTTCGATACTGTAACCTCTGTTTGTGGCGCCGATTTCATCATGTTAGCACACGGTTTCCTCATTACTACAACTGCTTTAGTTTGTAAGCTAATGCGAGAATTGTTATTCATAATCAGTAGATGTGATGCAAGAAGCACCAGGAGTCTGGATCTATTGACATGCTCAAGCTGATTTACTTATTTGTTTTCTGTTTTAATTTTAATTTTAGTGCATTACCAGCTTTAATGGAAAAGAGCTCAGAAACAAAATAAGTTTGTTATTGCTTACATGTTTCAGCTTAAGAAAAATTAATATTGTGAGTATTGAGGACATTTTTAGCATTAGGGGGTTCTACAAAGTCCTCCACAATGAGTTTTTTATGCACCCATTCATACAGTTACACACCAATTACACTGGAACTGTGAGGAAAGGGAGATTGCCTGCCATTGGGAAATCTGTAGAAACGTTCTCTGGCACCTGAAACAAAGTTGCCCCTGAAATGATTCATTATAGGAAACTAAACTGCAAATGTAAGAAAAAGAACAAATAAGGAAATACTCGTGAGTGAGCCATGCTGATGGCTTTCTCTCTTGTGTGTCTGACAGTATGGGCAGTAATGCCTTGCGGTCCCTTGCAGATGACATCATCCCTTTCAACACTGACAAAACAAGGTATTGAACCAACTTAGTTGCATACTTCTGTGATGAATCTATGATTGAAAAATGGGAGTGGAAGGGAAAGTGCAGACCCACAGAAATCTTTTTCTTCCTTCCTGCTTGAACATTGTCTGATGTGCTTCATCTGTCACAACTCCCAAATCCCCCCCCCCTCCCCTCTCTCTTGCTATCTCTCCCCACTTTGGCTGTTTTAACATCAGCACTCAGCGGTCATGGGAAACCAGCACAGCCCAGGAGTCGAACACAGAGGAGAGGTGATGACATGCTTTGATGTACTTTTGCACCCCCACACTATACACTCTGTGCTTCATTCATCTACTTTCACCCATCCATGTCCATTGCGTGTTAAAAGCCTTTCAATGTCTCTCCCCTCTCAGCCAAGAAGCGCAACCAGAAGCAGAAGGCCAAGCTGAAGATCAACAGACAGTCATCAAGTTTGAGAGGAAGTAAGTGATCTTGGATATTGGCTCCTTTTTATTTCCGTAACCTCCTCCCTTTTCACCCCGGTGAAGTAGC